GAACAGTTCCTCTCCTTGCTCCGATCAATTCTTCCCCTTTTCCTGTCTCCAGCGTCTCTTTTCCCCTTCAGCATCCACCTAGGTCCTCCCTTTCTCCCTTGGGAAATCATTGCCAGTAGAAATTTACTGGAGTCCGGGAACCTGGCGCCTCGCAGACTGGGCCCGGAGGCTTCTCACAACAGCCGACACTAAAACGTTGCCCCTCAGGGCCTCTAAGTTGTGGGCGCTATAGCTTTCTCCCTCCAAACGAGTACTGCCAGAACAAAATTAACCCAAGATCATTAGTTACCTGCCTTCCAGTTTCCTGACAGGACCCACAAACCGAATTTCCGTAAACCGTGCAATTAACCAGCTAGAAAGGCAGCAGCCGCCAAAACACCAACTCCGTCCAACTGCCGGCGCCGCTAGAATTTTAAAATCTCCGCCGACGATGACGTCATCACGTGCGAAGCGCGCGCGCGTGCGCATCAATTACGCGGAGCGGCGCATCTGTTACGCGGAGCTCCTCATCATCGGAAAACTCTTTGTCGCGCCCCGTCGTCTAGCGTTCCCGCGGGTAAATTGGCATCTCCTGGACACTGTAAGCGGTCACTACGAAGTCTGGCCCAACCCCTAAATTTACTTTGAAGACCCGAGCGCTCCAAGTCGCTGAGTAGTGGGCACTGCACTATAGGTCGCCCTAGAAACGCTTTTCCGTACAGCAACATGGCCGCTCCCGTGGACTCTTAGAAAAGGAGAATTTTTTTCCTTTGCGCTGAAAGGAGTGTCTTTCACCACCAATATTCAGATGGGTGCTGTTTTCATAGTTCAAGTCTGGGAAGGCGGCGTGCATTTTCTGCGGTGAGGTAGGAGATGAGATCGCGCTAGGCTCAGAATTTGCTCGCTCTGTTTTCCCGGTTCTCTAGTGGTGGCCTGCGAGAAGCTAAAAGGAATCAAGTGAGTAGGGGTGGGGGTTGGTGTGAAGCAGAGAAATAGAGAGTTAAGAGAGGGGTGCACTAAGCATAGAAGATTACTTTGCTTGAAATAAGACATTCCCGCTTCTCTGAGTTTGAACTCACTGCCTAATACCTGGAGAGTGGTAGGGGTGGGAGACGAGCCAAAACAAAGTCTGGATATCTGGGTCTTGTAGCAGTTGTGCCGTTAACTAGAGTTGTAATTTGGGCACGTCATCTTTCTCGAGTTTCAGTCTTCTCATCTAAATTTTTAGCTCTCACTAACCGTTACAGACAGGACTTTCTCACCACAGTGGAGACTGAAGAGAGAACCAATACCAGAATTACCATCACCAGTAGCATTTGTTTGATTAGTTGTTTTGTGTCACTCAATGTACAGCACTTTATGTCGATTATCTTATTTAATTCTCTAAACAGCCCTCTGAGATGTCATAAAAATGATAAAATTATGGCTCAGTGAGATCAAATAACTTGTCCATGGTCATGAAGCTAATACATGGAGATAGAAGTTTGAATCTAAATGTGCTATTAATCACTTAACATAAATCGTATTCTGTC